GCAATTAATACCTGTACGCAACCCATACCGCTGAACCACCAATGCATGTGGATTCCCCTTTGCTCTTTAATGTGAGTCTGTTCTGTGCTTTCATTTTATTTGGACATGAAAACATTTGGAAATAAATAGAAAAATGGCATGATTCCCTTTCTTTCCTTTATAGGCACTATTGCCACTCCTATGCAATCCTTAAAACAGTCAGTTCATGTAGCGGTGTGTAACTGTCAGACGGGCTCCATAGTGATAAATTGACGCTGTTTCCTAAACGGATCCTTTAACATTACACGTGATTTGAAGTGGACTGAAATTGGACACTCTGGGTTTTGGGTGCGTGTTTAATCAGACATATACACAATAATAATAATAATAATAATAATAATAATAATAATAATAATAATAATAATGACATCTAAGTATGTCAATCTTGTGGGGGGTCGTTTAAACAACTAATTTAGTCTTAAATGAGCATAAACAGAAAAGCAATCAAATGCTTTCATTATAAATCAATGCATTTTTAAAGTGACTTCTGTTATTTAATGTAATCAAATGAAAAAAATTATTCAATTGTTTTGTTGGAATTGGGATTAGAACTTTTGTTACCAAATCAACAATTAACACATTTGTTTTATTGTACAAAGAATTTAGTTGTTAGTACCACAGTAGAAAATTAAACTATTTTCATGCTGACTGGCCCAAATCAGCACCGTATGAAACTGTTAACAGAACTATTCACCCCAATAGTGGAAAAGCTGCTGTTGGATCTGTGGTGAATGTGCTCAGGACAATTTGAAAGATGAATATGTGTTCTTGACCCACTTTATAAGACATCAATGTATTTTCAAGAAACACATATTAATTAGTTTTTCCTATAATTTTTTTTTTTTTTTTTGACTGTCAAGTACCAGTAGCCAAAAACCTACATTTAAATAGCCAGCACTTCATTTTAAGTTAAATAAAAGCACTTCTTTAATATTCGACTGAACAATAAAAGCCTGAGGGTGAGTACATTTATGTCAAATATACTTTTTTAGCTTACCTTTTTGTCAAAAAGGGACAAAAGAGATTAACTAAAACATCAGGTGTAAATGGGAATGTATCTCACACATCTGACCAAAGTGCATCTTAATACCCGGTGTAAACAGGGCTTTCAACATGTGCTAGGCAGACGTTACATTGTGCTCAGTCACAGTTTACTGAAAGCTGAAACATGGTCCCTTTGGATCCTGCTTTCAAAATGCATCCGTTTACTTCAGTCCTGCTCTTCTGGGCTACTTCCTTCACTTTATCGATTTTTGAAGGCTTTGGATCCTTTGCTGGCTCTGATATCCCACAACATTGTGCATTTGATTCTGGGGCAGAAAGAGCTAAAATTTAAAATTTAATTCTGAAATCTCTGATTGGTGGCCATTTTGGCCCTGTTTACACCTGGTATTAAAGGGCACCTATCATGCCCCTTTTTTGCAAGATGTAATTTGAGTTTCAGATCAAGATACACAACAAGTCCAACATAATTACCTGCTGAAAATATAAATTTTGGGGTCAAATTAAAAATGAATTGACGTTGAGGATGTGACATTTAAATGCAAATGACCTAATTTTGTTTTGCCATGTTTAGTTGAACCATCTGTTTAACCTGAGTATAATCAAAACAGAATTTACAGAACTGTTCTCTGTTTACTTTTCTGCATTTATGGTGAAGGTGACTAACACGCAGCACATTATTAAGAAAGGTGATTTTCAAAGATTATACTGTAAACAGTGCACCCGGAAAGTATTCATAGCGATTCACTTTTTCCACTTTTTTTTTTAATGTTGCAGTCGTATTCCAAAATGGATTAAATTAATTTCTTTCGTCAAAATCCTACACACAATACCCCATAATGACAATGTGAAAAAAGTTTTTTTTTTTTAATTGTTGCAAATTTATTAAAAATAAAATCACATGTACATAAGTATTCACAGACTTTGCTCAATACCTTGTTGATGCACCTTTGGAAACAAATACAGCCGCAAGTCTTTTTGAATATGATGCCACAAGCTTGGCATACCTGTCTCTGGGAATTTTTTTCCCAATTGCTCAACAATTGCTGTTCTATGTTAATTTGGGAGGATCTTCTAACAGTTGTGGGCGGGGCAGTAGATTGTGATGTCACAACCTTCTGTTTCTTCAAACAGCTTGTCTGAGAGATTTTGCGTTATAGGGATTAAATAAAATGTTTAGGTGAAATTTGATCAAACTTTGATCAAAAGTGGGTGGTTGTGCACACACACTGCCAACAAACACTAATGTATAAACCACTCATAAATGTAATTGCGTAACAGGTGCCCTTTGAAAATGCATTTCTGTTGATCTGATCACAACTGAACAATGCTTAATACAGGGCTAAACAGGCCTTGAAATGCTTTGAGCGTTTGAGCACTTCCAGATTTAGTTTTAAAAAAGGCATTTAGCTGGATTGCTTGTATAGTGTAAATAGATGTTTGCCTGAATATAATTAAGCAACCACAAAGGCTACATACTGTACTCCCCAGCAAACCGAACATGTGAATATTATTGTGTGTTGTTGAAGCATGTTAACCAGACTGGCTTTAAACTTTGCCATCTGAAAATTCATGTTTGCTTTAAAGGCAAAAAGAAATAGTCCTAATTCTAATACAAAGTATTTGGTGTGGCTATTAGATCAGACATTAAATCTGCTTCTCTTTGTCTTTTTCTGCTCTCACATTTTGCATTCATTTGGAAATTGAAGTTATTTTGTAATATTAAAGCGAAAGGTCAGAAAAGGATCATAGATACAGTACACCCGCCTAGATGTTCTTCTCATAGAAATCAGAAACTTGATCAAAAATGGCCTCATAAGACCAGATAAAAACAGGACCTTTGTTTGTAAATGTGTGTTTTTAACAAACTCCTCTTTTAATGGCATGTCTAGCAAGAGATTATTCACAAATCACAAAAGCTCTCTCTGTTTTGTTGTTCATCATTATAGTTTTGTGTAGTCTCAGAAGTCTTGCTGATTCTCGATTTGTCATGTATTCTTTACGCACTTCACATTAACACCAAAGCACATCAAATAAACTCCCATTGGCTTTTTAATATTCTTTGTGTTCAGGCACTTCCGCTAAATTATTCAAAGTTTCAAAACAAACAGAGACCTACTCGTGAGGACATACAACACAACTCATTTCAAGTCGAGTACAATATAAAAAAAATTTAAGCTGTATCAAGTTATAGAGTTCGTTGGTTATAAAGCCTGCCGTTCTGCAAAATGGATATTATACAGGATAATCTTTCAAGAGAAAATGTGCAATAAATCCTTAAAGGTTTAAGGCCGTACTCACACTAGGTACAGTTGCCTCGAACCGGGCCAAAGCACGATTGTCCCCTCTCCCGTCTCCCCCAACGACCCGCACTCACACCACAATCGGGCCTGGGCACGCTTACGTCATTGATGAAGTGAGAAGCGCTGTCACTCAGCAGCACAGTGGTTTTCTAGTTATATATTTATATATTTCTAGTCTAGTTATATATTTATATATTTCTAGTTATATATTTCTAGATTTCTCTAGTTATATCGTTTCAGTCGGTTTGATATGCAGTGACGCAGTCAAATGTTTCACCAAACAGTCCTTAGGGATGCGGTGACACGCAGTAAGATATTTTGCCGAACAGATCCGCCACTTTTGGTGCTCTTAAACAATCATAAAGCCCTCGTGCTGCAGGAATGAGGAGGTGTGCTGAAGGTCCGCAGCTGTCGTGCAGTGAGGGGTTTGCAACTTTAATAATCTAGGGCTGTTTGCGTTCACTGAACAGTAAGAATGATTAATAAAATCCATATGAAACAGTCCCTTAAAAGTCACGTCTCGCTTTCAGTTTCGGGCTTTGGCGCGTTTTGCACTCACACTACAAACGCATAGTGTGAGTAGGCCCTAAGACAACCTGCAGTACTTTTTTGAGATTTTAAAAGATTTGTGTGTTTTAAGCATCAGTTAAGAAACGTTAGCAACTGTATGCTTTAATTGTGGGGTGCACCTGATAATTTTGAGCTTTTGTAAGCTAATTTCATCTTCCGGGTTGAAAATAATTTTTCTGGGATCAAAATCGGTGATGTAGCGCAAATCTGCTAATGAAGTGATGACGCGTCGGTTTCTCATTATTATTCATAGCAGTGTTTTCTGATCCTTTGAGAAGACTCTGCTTCTTAATTACACATGCTTTCCGAAGACAAAGCATACCTGCCAAGCTGAGACCCAGTGATTGGTTAAGAACGCGTTGCCACGGCACGATTCGTACGAGCACGAGTTTATTTTTATGATCCATGGGGTTTGTTGCATGTTTTTCTCCGCTATTCTGCAGACCTGATACAGCAAAGCTGTTGGTTTGCAGCAAGCAAATGTGAAGTGCTGCTATGTTTATGTTTAAAATCTCCAGATTACCGGCAGGGCTAATGGTTGAAATAGACGAGGCAAGAGACCTGCTGCACTGCTATCCATGTGTTTGTTTTCAGACCTGGGGATTAAGGAGTGAAGTTTTCCTTTTTTAGTGGTTGTTGTGTATATGAAATTATGAATAACATTGTAGCAGGGTTTTAAATGACATACTTTTTATTTCTTTGCAGTTTAACTTTTTAAACTATAAAATCATGGATCTCCTCACGGTTTGCGTCTCATTTTGTAAGCCAACTGACAGTTCACTCCCCTCTTTCTCCCTGCTTTGCTGGCTATGCCCACTCCTCTCTCTGCATGCTTGCAGTGCTCCACAACCATCATGAAGCATTTTATGAAAAAATTCTGAAGTAAACATGAACGAAAGAGAGAGATTTCATTGCCCTTTAAGGATCAAGTTCGCTGTGGATAAAAATAGTGTTTGCCTTAAATTTTTTTGTTGAATAAAGTTAACCTTACAAGTTATTTTAACTTAAAAAAACAAGTTGAAACATAGCTACAGTATAGTTTCCTTAGTTAAATTAGCATAAAGCTAGCATGTTGTTATGACCGATCATGTAATATATAATCAGGTGATATATGCACACAGTTAAAACATTTGTTTATTAAAATATCTCAATTATACTAAAATAAAACTGGGGAGAGCTTGATGCCCTCTAAACTTCTTTAAACGTTTACATTAAATAAACCTGCATGAAATCAAATTAAGTCCTACTCTCTTATATCAACACCACTAACAGTAAAAGTTACGACTTGTTGATTGACTCAGTGTGAACTTGTGAAAATGTGCAAAAACAGATGCATCACCTTGCATGCAAAACCCCCCACACAAACACACCTCCTGATTCTGCTCTGACCACAAAGATGACTAAGAAAGGGCAATTAAAAAGCGGTTATTTCCTCATTGCTCTCACACTTGATGTTAAAGGACATCTGAGAAAACACATTGATTTTTGGCTGAGAGGACGGTCCACTCAATGGATATTTGCAGAAATTTGATTGTGTTTCACTTCTTGGTGTTCACCTTTTTTAAAGTGACAGGTAATGATTGTTTTTTTGTCCCAGAGTTTGGTTGCAAACTTCATTAGTGTTCTTTTGTTCAACCTGTAACTGTCTTTAAAATCTCTCTTCCAGTTTGCTCTGACGTATCAATTGTTGGAGGCAAAGATGTCAAAAAAGCTTTATCGTGGATGGTGTCCATTCAGGTAAACCAGAATCATAAATGTGGAGGAATCCTGATTCACAAAGAGTGGGTTTTAACAGCGGCGCATTGCAAAGAGTAAGGAAACTACACTGAGTTTACACAAACTAAGCATATTATCATCTTTTTAGGAAAGAATGCCGTAAATATAAAAATCAGAACAAGTGTTAATCAGAAGCTAATTTAAGATAAATAAAGATAAAGTCAGATATTTAATTAAGTTTATTTTAATTTTAAGTTTTACGTAATTTTACTTTTACTAATGCAATTTAGGGTATACATTTAGTAATTTGACATACATTAGATGTAATAATATCCCTTTTCTTTGATTAATTTGTTAACAGATTAATATCTATTTTTAGGTTTGTTTGTTGACATGCTGGAAACTTTAAACAGAACTTGCTACACTGGGTTTTTTTTATTGAAAAAGCTTCTTAGTAAAGAGCTCGGATCATTAAATGTGCTACTTTTTAATTTATTGTTTTAAACCAGAAAGGACCAAACAGGGTCTGCTGGCCAATATTGGCCCATGATATTTTTTGATTTGGCCCGCCATGCCATCTGAGAAGAGAGGGAGTTCAAATTTAATCTAACTCTTGTTTGTTTGCTTTACCTTATAAATACTGTATAGTCATATATTTAGCTTTGGCCCACGGCTCTCAATAATATTTGTTTTTTGGCCCTTCATAGTAAAAAGTTTGGGCACCTCCCTGTTTTAAATGCTTTAATCTTTATTGAAATGTATTGAAAAAAACTTTATTAATTTACTATGTCATTTTACTATTATATGCAAGAAATTTGCTAAAAAAGTTTTTCCTCTTGAAAGTTTTTCCTCTTTTTCCTATTGAAAGAGCTTTTCTAGTTTTCCCCTCAGAATTAGAGATACAAATTCATTTTATTTTATCTCAAGTTATTATTTTAAGCGTTTTGATCTTTATTTTCATGATCTATTTATTTATTGAAACTAACTATAAATGTGGGGGTTATAGAACTATGAAGTATAAGCATATAAGCAGACTTGTTTTTATTTCAGAGACTCCTATTCATCAGTGACGGTTCTCATAGGATCTCTATCTCTGAGTAAAGGCTCTCAGCGTATTGCCATCCACAATTACGAAATCCCTGAAACATTCAATAAAAAGACTAAAAAAGACGACATCATGCTCATTAGGGTAAGGATGAACAAAAATTTTTTGTCATTTATTCATAATTAACTCTTTTACTGCTTTTACACAACATGCATTTGAGCATCGCCATATCTTTGCAGCTAAGCAAAAAAGTTAAAGCCAAACCCTACAAAATCCCTAAAAAGGAAAAAGACGTCCAACCCGGAACAAAATGTGTTGTGAGAGGTTGGGGAACCACTGATTATAAAGGCAAGCAAGCTTCTGATAAACTGCAAATGTTGGAGGTGTTGGTGGTGGACAGAGTGCAGTGCAACCGCTACTATAACAGAAATCCTGTCATCACCAAAGACATGCTGTGTGCAGGAAACACACAGCAGCACAGAGGAACCTGTTTGGTGGGTTTCACCCATACAGATGCTGATTTATGCTGTTTGCAAACATTTCTTCACATGTCTGGAGGATGAAGATCTTGATTTGTTTTTCAGGGAGATTCTGGTGGACCTCTGGAGTGTGAGAAAAACCTGGTTGGAGTGCTTTCAGGCTCACACGGATGTGGGGATCCCAAAAAACCCACAGTGTACACGCTTCTGTCCAAAAGACATATCACCTGGATCAATAAAATACTGAAACAGCAATTCAACAGCACACGCTTTTAGGAAACCAAACTTTTCCAGCTTATATACAGTAGCCTGCACTTTCAGAAATAAAGGTACAAAAACTGTGACTGGGGTGTAGCTGTACCTTAGGGCTGCATCTAGACTTGTTAGCACCCTAGGCGAGATTATTATTCATTAAATACATAATATAATGCATCTTTTAAATAGTTATTCCATCTACGTAATTTTTTTTTCTGAAAATATGCTGTTCTTTTTTAAAAATGTTTGTGACTTTAAATTTCTACATTTATATTCACAACCAGTGTTTTTACAATGTTAAGCAAATTTTGAAATAAAGCTAAAAAAACAATGTGTCTGATATTGTATTATATCAGCCCCTCTATTTGTTCCTGCTTATTTTCTAGTAAACAACCATTAAAATGTACACACAGAATGCACATTTTATCTTAATTTATGTATCTTCATGCCGTCTATGATGACTTTTTCCATCCTCAGAATAATAAAGAAGATTTTCGACTAAAACTGTGGTATTTGGTTAATCAGTCCAACAAAGAGTCAAAGTCATCATTGAGTGTCAAACAAAACACAAAGACGACACCAAGTTAATAGCTGTATCTTCTATATACTGAGACATTGGGGTCTTCTGTAGTGTAACAATTGATCGGTTGTGAAATAATGTTCACATCAGATTTTTAAATAATTTTTAATAATCTTCAGTTTCTTGCACAGACAGACTGTTCCACTTCATAAGACCTCAATGTATCCTCAATGTAAAAAATGAGAAGCATATGCTACCTGACAAAAGTCGTCATCAATCCCAGTTGAAAGAGCAACAAATGATAACTTCACATCTAGTTGCAAAAGTGAGAGAAGGTAGATTTTTCCAATGAATCATCTGTTGAACTGCATCCTAATCATCACAAATACTGCAGAAGACCTATTGGAACCAGCATGGACCCAAGATTTTCACAGAAATTAGTCAAGTTTGGTGATGGAAAAATCATGGTTCCCCTTCGGTTGGGGAACTTCAGTGCCATAGAGTGGATTGATTGAAATCCACGAAATGGGAGGATTCGGTTCAGAAGCCGCTTGTCTGAAAGAGTATTGAACGGGCCAATGAAAGCAATGAATTGGCAGCGTAAGCTTGCACAGGTGTACTTCATTGCCAATTATCCCAGCATATAAGCACACCTGGGGCGAGCAGACGCCATCCTTTTCGCTTCAGAGACTTTCTGATCGAGTCGATGAGGGTTCCTCCTGCTGTGACCAGCGATTCTGAGCGAACGAGAGCATTCTCCCGGTCCAGAGTGTGTACACGCAGCGGCAGACGGTCGAGCTGGGTTTCTCCCTTGCCTGGCGTTCTTTGGGTCCGGTCCTCCAGAGCGGTGCGTACAAAGTTGCAAACTTCACAGAAAGAGCAACACAGTCGTGCAGCACGTCCTTTTCAGGACGGCGCTCCGACTGTGCGTTTCTGGATGCGGTGGTTTCCTGTCCTCGGATGATGGGCACGGGCACTGCGTTACATGTCTGGGGATCCAGCATGTTAATGCGCTGCTCGCGGGCAATTCATGTCGTCATTGCGATGCCATGACTGTTGCGCAAGATCGCGGCTAGCCTTTGCAAAAGGGCGAACCACCCCAGTTGTCCAATGCTCTGCAGCGGGCACTCGGGCAGATCTGAGGGTTTCAGCGAGAGATAATCCGTCGCCCACGGGCCCGCGGACCTCCCGCTCCTCTAAGCGCTCCATCCAAGCTTCTGGCGGGGGAAGCGATCCGTCTAACAGATGGTAGCCCTTGCGCCCGATGACACCGGAGACCAGACGTCCACCGCGGCATCGGAGGGTGGGCTTTCATTGTCCGATGATGATCCAGACCCGCTCGCCCCCTTCGGGCTGGTGAGCGCTGTCACTACGAATCCTGAAACGGACATGTTAGCCGTGCTTTCCCGGGCTGCTTCGGCCGTGGGTTGGAGATGGTTTATCCCCCAGCTCCGCGAGGTGCACAGTAGGCTCACGCAGTCTTGAAAAGCACTTTTTTCTGCACGTGCTGCGTGTCCCTCCACCCTCACCACTCTTGACGGTGGAACAGCCAGGGGGTATGTGGCGATTCCTCAGGTTGAGTGCGCAATGGCGGTCAATTCGCGCGGCGCCTCTTCTTGGCGGGGTCCGCCTCGTCTCCCATCCAAAGCATGTAAGTTATCTGCCTCCCTCGGAGCTAGAGCTTACATAGCTGCGGGCCAGGCTGCTTCCGCCTTGCATGCGATAGCCACCTACCAGCGCTACCAAGCGCAGGCGCTGGCCGAGCTGCACGAGGGTGGGTTCAACCTAGGCTTACGAGCTTCGCACCGCCGCCGACTTAGCTCTTCGGACTACTGAGTCTGCTGCGTGTGCGTTGGGGAGGACGATGTCCACATTAGTGGTCCAGGAGCGCCACCCGAGGCTGATATGCGCAAAGTCGACAAAGTCCGCTTTCTTGACTTCCCCATATCCCCAGCCATGTTCGGCGACACTGTCTGTGAATTTGCCCAGGAATTCAAGGCGGTGAGAGAGCAGTTGGTGGGTGATGTCTTATCGGCGGTCCGTAGCCCGCTCCGCCCGCCGTGCCATTCATACCTGCTCCTCGCCGAAGGCGCCCGCCTACGAGAGCTGCTCCGCCCCCGCACACGCCTCCGGCGAAGTGAGCGAGTCGGGCACCTCGGAAGCAGGCAGCCCCCCTGCCCAGAATGCCGCTAAGTCCGGCAACGGACCGCGAAGCGCCCCTGGGACAGGCCATCTGGAGAAGAGGGAACTTGCTCTTTCCCCGCTGGAGGGCGGGGCCCCATTTCCAACGGCACTTTTTTACTGCCATGAAAATATCATGAAAGAGCACTTTTCCACTTCCCCGGATGTGACAGCCCGAAATCTGCCAGTCTTGGACGCTATGCTTTCTAGCTTGCAGATTCGGTGCGTTTCGCCAGTGGCTCACGAGCGCTGGGAGGACGGTCTCCTTCTCCCACCCCTCGAGCCTCCCCTCCGGAGCTCGGGTGCGGAGTGAGAGCGACTATCTCACCTCCAGCTTTTCCGTGGGACCCGCGCGCTTCCTGGATCAGCACACCCACTCCGCGCTGCCCCACTGCTGGTACGTCAGCGATTGTAGCGATTAGTCCATTAGCGAGAGCTCTGCCTGCCTGGTTAGCGCGGGCCAACTCTTTGCGGTGGCTCATATGCACAATCAGTCTCGGCTATGTGATTCAGTTCGCAAAACGGCCCCCCAAGTCTCGGGTGTGTTTTCACCAGGGTCAGCCCCCTGTCCGCCCCTGTCTTGCGAGAGGAGATTGCTGTCCTCCTGGTGAAGGATGCAATCGAGCCGCTCCCTCCAGCCGAGATGGAGAGCGGGTTTTACAGCCCACACTTCATCGTGCCCAAAAAGAGTGGTGGGTCACGGCCAATCCTAGATCTGCGCGTTTAGAACCGCTGTCTGCACAAGCTGCCATTCAGAATACTCACGCAGAAGCGCATCCTCCGGTGCGTTCATCCTCTGGGTTGGTCTGCAGCATTAGACCTGATGGACGCGTATTTTCATGTCTCCACTCTTCCTCGCCACCGTCAGTTTCTGCGGTTTGCGTTTGAAGGTCGAGCTTGGCAATACAAAGCCCTCCCCTTCGGGCTCTCTCTGTCTCCGCGGGTCCTCACCAAGCCCGCGGAGGGTGCCTTAGCGCCCCTTCGGCTCGAGGGCATCTGCATACTCAGTTTCTTGACAACTGGCTGATTTTTGCCCTCTTTCGGAGCAATTGATTATGCACAGAGACAAAGTGTTCTGGCACTTCCACCTGTTGGGGTTTTAGGTCAACCGAGAAAAGAGCAAACTCGCCCCCGTGCAGAGGATCTCTTCTCTCGGGCTGGAGCTGGACTCGGTCACCATGGCAGCGCGCCTCTCCGGAGAGCGCGCTCAGCTGATGCTGTACTGTCTGAGAGAGCTCGACAGTAAAATAGTGGTCCCACTGAAACTATTTCAGAGGCTCCTGGGGCATATGGCATCCGCAGCCGCTTCATGCTGCTCGGATTACTCTATATGAGACCACTTCAGCACTGGCTTCACGATCGAGTCCCCAGACGCGCATGGCACGCGTGCGCACACCGAGTCTCTGTTACTGCGCTGTGTCGCCGCGCCCTCAGCCCTTGGAGCGGTCCCTCGTTCCTACAGGCCTGGGTGTCTCTAGAACAGGCGCCCAGTCTGGTTGTCGTTTCAGCAGACGCTTCCAACACGGGCTGGGGGGCTGTGCGTTGCGGGCATGCGGCTGCGGACCTGTGGAAAGGTACCCAGTTGCATTGGCATATCGCCTGGAGCTGTTGGCAGTGTTCCTCGCTCTCCACCGGTTTTTTCCGGTGCTGGAGCGGCAACACGTGCTGGTCAGGACGGACAGTACGGCGGCGGTGGCGTATATCAGCCGTATGGGGGGTATGCGCTCTCGCCGCATGTCTCAACTCGCCCGCCGTCTGCTCCTCTGGAGTCATCCGCGGCTGAAATCGCTGCACGCCATTCATATTCAGGCAAGCTCAACCGTGCAGCCGATGCGCTCTCACGGCAGCCTTACGTCCTGGAGAATGGAGACTCCACCCCGAGTCTGTTCAGCTGATATGGGCGCGATTCGGGGAAGCCCAGATCGATCTGTTGCTTCCCCCGAGATCGCTCATTGCCAGTTGTTCTTTCCCTGACCGAGTGCTCTCTGCACGGATGCACTGGCTTACAGCTGGCCTCGGGGCACGCGCAAATATGCGTTTCCCCTAGTGAGCCTGCTCGCGCAGTTACTGTGCAAGGTCAGGGAGGACAAGGAACAGGTTGCTGGTTGCGCCCCTCTGGCTCAACCGGACCTAGATGTCAGAGCTCTCCCTCGCGATAGCTCTCCCCTGGCAGTCCCTTCGAGAGAGCACCTACTCTCTCAGGGACAGGGCACCATCTGGCACCCTCGCCGATCTTTGGAGGTCATTAGACGCGAGGAAGACTTAGGTAACCTCCGATTGCGGTGGTTAATACCGTCACTCGGGCTAGAGCCCCCTCCCCGAGCGCGCCTATGCCCTGAAGTGGAGTCTATTCACTGAATGGTGTGTCTCTCGCAGAGAAGACCCCCGTAATTTGCTCAGCGTTGTGCTTTCTTTACGCCGAGAGAAGCTGGAGAGCAGGCTGTCGCCCCCCACACTCAAGGTTACGTGGCTGCCATCTCCGCTCTCATGACGCGGTGGCTGGCAGCACCGTGGGAACGCATAACCTCATCATCCGGTTCCTCAGGGGCGCTAAGCGAATTAATCCACCTCGCCCCCTCTCATGCGCTCTTAGGATCTCGCCCTCGCTACACAAGCCGCGTCAGATCCCTTCGATCCTCGACTCAGTATCTTTCTGTCCCTGAAGACAGCTCTGCTGGTCGCGTTGATATCGATTAGAGGGTCGGGGACCCGGAGGCATTTTTTGGTCAGTGACTCGTGCCTGTAATTGGGCTGGCTTTCTCTCACGTCCTGAGACCCCGCCCGCGATATGTG